GTTATCACGATGTCTTGTATTTTTAATTATTATACTTTTAGTCCAGGGCCCCTCTGGATATCAGCCTCGTCGCTGAATGGGCCACCCTGGCTGAATAAAGTTTACATGTACCTTTACCTTTACCTTTAAGACTTGGGCAGCATTGTATATGTACAGTGGAATTGGGTTTCTTGATCCGTCGATTTTTCAAACCTCTTGATAATGCAGACTACATGTAAAAGTTGTTTCCCTCCCCTGAGTCACTGTAATTTTACACCCGATTTTTGGAACTAGCCAATTTTCAACCCAATATTTGGAAGTTTGAAAAATCAGGATTCTACTGTGAGTGTACAATGTATCAATTGGAAATAATTTTAGTACAAATGATAAAATCTACTAGCATTCTGTTACAAATGCTGTGCTATGATTGGCTAGATAGTGAGTAGCCTAGCAGTGTGTGTTTGTTAAAAAACTGGTGGCCACTTCTTTGTGCTTTTAAAGCCAGTGTCTGTAAAGAGGATAAATTTAGATAAAGATTTTGAATGGGTAGTAGATTTATACTAAAACAATAAGATTATTCGCTTTCCATTTGTATGCGTGATAGTACATGAGGGCACTATCATGCTATTAATAGAATTCTTGAGCTCATGATCTTATTGTTGAAATATACAAAAATGCCCTGTGACAAGTCTGTACTGTATAGCACTTGAGTTACCGTAAATCCCCGAATTAGCGCCTGGGGCGCTTATTTCAAATTTAGGAGAAGACAGTGGATGCTTATTCGAGGGGGAGCGGGGGAGGGGGGCACTTATTTAATTTTTCCCAAATCATGGCCTGACATGATCATTCTTTTAGTACATCATCTGCATGTAAACAACAACATATTAAGCTGTTTATCGACATAAAAAGCTGATAATAAAGTTTAAATCGTGACACCATTAAAAATTCACGTGGTCACAAACTGAAAGAATGTACCAATGTAATACTACACGACGAAAACTATACATCCTTTGCTGGCTCATTACTTGTCCACAAAATAGGGGGAGGGGAGGGGGTGCTTATTTTAAATTTTGACCCATAGGAGGGG